TATACTATTAGAAATATGCAACAGTAAAAAACAATTGTTTACTTAAAGTTAAAGGTTTACCCCACACGTACGTTTTTGTTTTATGTTGATATGTTTGAATAATGTACGAGTATGGCTAACAGGCGCAAAATGTTAAGTAGTTTAAGATCTAAACGATGAAAATATATATTTTTTTAAATTGTAGGTAATTGTGCTGGCAAATCTACCGTAATGGAATATTTTATAAATATACATAAATATACGTCTAAAAATTTAAAAATCGGTGACGTATAAAACTAGGGTGACATATAGAACCTTACCAAAACTGCAAAAATGAAGATACTTGAATTTTGCAAATTGCTTTTGGATTCTGCATATTTACACTATGTGTGTACTGTGTACCAATTTTCAAGTGTCAGCAAAGCTTCGAACAAATTTGGCAAAGTTTCGAGTTTCAGATGCCGATGAATGTATAACACCTTATAGAACAAAAAGTTTTACTCTCCTAATTTCCGGCTTTAGCGTCATTATTGTATATATATATTAAACTATAGTTTTCGAAAGTTTTATCACTTTTTGTTTATACATAACTGACATTTTTACAGCAACTTTAAAAATTTGACGTTTTATACCGTTTTTTCAATCTCACTGCTTTGTTATTACAAATTTTGTAATCGGACCACCGCCATTTTGTAGCTATTTTTATTACGAACAAAATCATGTCTTAAGCATTTTTTCGTACAAAGTCATCCCGCTGGTTATTTAAAGAAAATTACTAAAAAAAATTTTTTTTCACGATTAAATTGTTAATAACTTTTTTTCCTGATAAAATACTTTGTCAGCAAATTATCCTGTTATTGTACTCATCATTTAAAGTAAGCCTGTGTAGTTATTTCCGGGTTATCAAGGTTTGACACAGGCCGAACCTCTACCAACTGGACTATTGATACTTGTTATTAAAACCCCGAACATTCTAGTATATTTTAAAAAAATTATTTAAAATCTCTTCCGAATCATACGTATCATATTATCATTTTCACATCCCATGCCGCATGGTTGAAGATACATTACTATTTTTAATTTTTTCATCAAGTTTAATAAATTTTACTCAGTGTATCCCATAGTCAAACCCGCTCAAATCGGTTTGAGTAGTCATAAATTGGAGAAACCTTCGATTCCGTGGTCTCATTGCACCGTAACCCTATAATCCCATAACCCTATAACCCCATAAACCCGCAAACTGTTAGTTGAACAATTTTTATTGCAAAAACTTTCTTTCACTGATTGCGCAGTCAAAGAAATACGTTTTTTAGTATAGATACAAAGAAAAAACCCGGAGTAACTATGTAACACAAATTTGTATCTCCTAGATCATGGGTCAATAGGAACCTGCATGCCCTAGGTTAAGAGATTAGGGAGTACACCTAGGTTATGGGGTTATTGTGTTATGAGGTTATGGAAGCTTGCCAATTCACAGACATGTATCTACATCATACATCCCGGGTTACGGGGTTATGGGGTTAGGGAAGCCCGCCAACCCCGTCATATCCTTTTGAACCCCTGATGAATAAATAAAAATATTTCCGTCTTGTGTCATAACGAATAATAAAGGATCAAACATGGAGCCTGATGTAGCTACAGATTCCTCGGATCTTTGGAATGCATTCAAATTTATTTTGGCGCATTTCATATCTTAAAATTAATTGCACTTGAGATTATGTTGTGTACACTTGTAATAAAACCCATTTTCTCCTATCAGAATCTTTTAAGAGGTTAACTCAACAGATAAATCAAAATTACTCTATTGCGAAGATACTAATTGAAACAAATTATTTTTTTTTTCTAAAAATATCTTATCAAATGAAGCGAAACAATGTTCTTCGATCCCAGACATCTAGGTATGCAGAAGATATCTCTCAACCCAGGGCTACGTGATCCAACTAGCATTGAATTGTACCCCCAACAACCAGTAAAAAGTAACAGTCTGCATCCAAATATTTCAAATGATTTCGAGAAATTTTTTGCCCAAACATTTTTTACAAGTCGACAATTTTAGAAACTGCCTTACAGAAACTTTACTCACGCCTAGTTTATCATGTACAATTGTTAAAAACTTCTCCCACTTTACTTTACATGATTCGAAGAGGTCATTTTTATGCAAACATTGGAGGAGTACTCATGGTGACTTGACACACACCTACACCAATGTTTGCATAGCACTATCTCTGAATCTTGGACCAGTTATTTAATTAATTCAAAGATGAACGAATATGTCATCCAGTGGTGAAAATGTGCCACCTGGAACACCAAAATTTCAACGAAACTTCAAACATTTAATCAACATTCCCGGATCTAATATATAAATCTCTTCTCTTGCATTTAGCTTAAGTTTAATAAAATATTGCATTATGATCTCATAAATTCATATTAAGCGTATTATTTTCAACTTAAAAAAAATGTATCATATGCAAAGAAGGGAACGGCTTTTGATGTTTCAAATACTTCGAATTTTTCAAATTCCTCTTCAACCTCTTGGTGCTATCAAGATAGAGATCTAGGTATTTTGCACTCCTGCAAAATATTCGCCACTTCTATAGATAAAATTGTTTGATTTCGTATAAATACCCGACCAAATCATTACCAATCCAGTCTTAGATCTACAGCTGATGCGAAGATGAAGACTATCGCTTGCTTTGCTGCTCTTGCCTTTGTGTTGGCATTCTCTGTAAGTACAACCATATTATTTTCTTTGTCGAATGAGTTTATATTTGCTAAACAAGTGTTATTATTATAACTTTAATAAAAAATGTAATTTTATATAAATTAATTGAAAGGAAAATCATATGATTACGTTACACATTCAAATATATAGTAATATCGAATTACTTATTGCGTTCAGCTGCAAACTTGAAATATAATTAATATAAACGGAAAAAGTAATATAATTACGTAGAAAACGTAGAAAACTACCTAAAACAAAAATTAATAGAAAGTATTTATTTTATTTTCCTTACTATATGTAACTTTATCATATATGTATTTGCAAATTTAGACAAACTACAGTCATAATTATAAAGGAAAACTAATATAAGATAATATTTTCAGGTCAACGTAAATGGCCATGCCATCGATATTGATAGGGTGAGATCATCTCACGATGACGCCTTCGAAATTGACATTAAAATTAAATCTGAAGCATTAGAAGAACCAGAGCAACCTGAAGATCCCAGAGCTCCTGAAGATCCAGAAGACCCCAGAGCTCCTGAGGACCCAGAAGACCCAAGGGCTCCTGAAGATCCCGAAGACCCCAGAGCTCCTGAAGATCCCGAAGACCCCAGGGCTCCTGAAGATCCAGAAGACCCCAGGGCTCCTGAAGATCCAGAAGACCCCAGGGCTCCAGAAGATCCTGAAGACCCAAGAGCTCCTGAAGATCCCGAAGATCCCAGGGCTCCAGAAGATCCCGAAGACCCTAGAGCTCCTGAAGATCCCGAAGACCCTAGAGCTCCTGAAGATCCAGAAGACCCCAGAGCTCCCGAAGATCCAGAAGACCCCAGAGCCCCAGAAGATCCTGAAGAAACACGACCAGCAGTTGCCGAACCAGAAGATCCAGAGGATCCAAGGGCACCTGAAGATCCAGAAGATCCCAGAGCTCCTGAGGACCCAGAAGACCCAAGGGCTCCTGAAGATCCCGAAGACCCCAGAGCTCCTGAAGATCCCGAAGACCCCAGGGCTCCTGAAGATCCAGAAGACCCCAGGGCTCCTGAAGATCCAGAAGACCCCAGGGCTCC